TATATATATTTTGATACCGGGGATCGAACTCAGGTCCTTGCGCTTGCGCAGCAGGCGATGAAACCACTGAGCTAAATCCCCGGCCTCCTTAAAAATATTTTTAATTGCTCAGGTACCTTCAAAATAAATTCTTTTCATAGATATTTGTGTTTTAGAGCTGTGTTTTGTAGAGCTTTCTTTTTCCCAGTTAATCTCTGAAGGCCCCAAATTCCAATTACATCCTATCAGCTTCCCGTTAGACACACCTGAGTCTTCTTCATCCTCTGAATGAAAGGTGATTTTGTATTTTTACTATAAACCTGTGTTGTAATGTACCTTTCATGATTAATTAACATCAGAAACTTTGCTTTACCCAAATCCACGTTCTCAGAGTGAACAGGATGTCCAGCATGTAACGGCTTGTACAGTGAACCAAGGCGTGAAATTTTAAACCAGTTAACACAGGATGTGTTCAATATCATACATTTTCTCTTTTGTGGAAGCAAGCAAACCAAGCTTTCTTTTGCACGAGAGAAAAACCAGGGGATAGAAAGTCAGCTCTCCAACCTCACCTGACGAAACACATCACCACTGGACAAGAAACAGATTTTATTTGCTTTTTCAACACAGTCTCTATGACAATCTCTGAATCATTATTATAATTTTGATACATTTATAAGAAAAATCCGGTATTTACCAGCGATGACTTACTTTATGTTACAGGCACTCTGTTTTTCAAATATAAATATATAAAAAGCAGTCGTGTAAAAAAGGAGATCCTGAAATGAAAAAATTCAGACAGAGTTTATTTTAAACCAGACTTGACTCCAAAATGTTCATCATTTTCATAAAGATACCGACAGCAGGGCCTTCTCAAAAGTGGGGCCACTCCATGACCGAAGCCACTTCATACACGAGGTGAAGTGGAAATGAGATCAGGTGGGCGAATCTAGAAAAGAGAAGAATTTACACGTGTTTCTAAATATATGGCGTGGCGACTTGCCATTTGCAGGATGAAAACATTAAACATATGTAGCAGATATCATATATACAATCTATTAAATCGCAAATGCAGTGCACCTCCCTGGAGTCCAGGAAGTCCTTCCTGCTTCTTCATCGCCGAACCCCGGCTGGGCCGTGTTGCTCTCTCCTGGCTCCTGTTGCACGCAGGGCTTGTCTTTGTGATTTCCTCCGGAACCGCTACACATTAACATTCAAGATTTGGGGAGGGAGCTGGAATTTGAAGGGCAAGGTGTTAACTCAGATGTTATGAAACTGATAATGCTACTATTTAAGGCACTTATTTGTGTGTGTTTATACTTTGTCGTTGTAGAAATAAACCCAAGGGGCTGCTTTCGGTGTCTCGATCCTCTTTGCCTCTCGTGTCCTGTCTGTCTCATCCTATCTGACAGTAGAATTGATGCCGCTCTAATCCCTGGAAGTTTGGAACTAATGAACTGACTGCTGAGCTGCTGCCACGGCGCCTGGTCCCAAACTATACTGTACTTCACACTCGATTTATTCTCCAGATGGGAGACTGTGCCGCCCTGCCGCGAGGGACCACCTCTTCCACTGGAGTGTAAAAGTGGACGGATGTTGTTTTCTTTGCCGATTTGATCATTCTGAGCTAGAAACTTGCAAGGATGATTAGTTATTAGCTTTAATGGGTACCGATGGAACCAACTGCAGCCATATTTTCTCCTTTAATTTCGGAGTCTGCCGGTCTTGGTGATGGTTGATTTATCCGCTTTCTGACGTCACCTGAGCGTGTCTCCTCTGCAGGTGACAGGAATCCAGCCTCTGAAATCAGAGCACGCCTTGGTTCCTGGCCCAGACACAGTCACATAATATGGTGGCTTATGGATAAGGACAAGTTTATTAGCTCTCGGTCCACTGCACCGACAGCCCATGGCACGAAATATCGATCGGGTGCGGGAACTTTGGGAACACCATGTTTTAGAATCATTCTTAGAAGATCCTGAGCTCTGCCAACCATCTCTGAGACCTCCGCAAAGTCTGGGCTCAAACCCAATGCAGCACGGACGACGGCAATTCGTCTCTTCAGAGCTCTCCTGGAACTATGGATAAAGGCCCTAATTCCATTACTCTGTCTTTTCCAGCTTGTCGGATCTCAGGGGGGCAAGTTCATTCCACAGTGAGGACGCTTCCACAGGCTGCCCTGCAGCGTGGCCTTGAGAACACAGTCCCCTCCCACCCTCAGTGGGAACAACCCACCTTGCTTCCAGGATTCGAGATCCCCCAAAGGTCTTCCTCCAGTGGCTTCTTTACTTCCTTTTCCTCTGTCCCCAGGAGGCTTGTCCCTCCCCGAGGCCCCAGCAGGTCACCCCGAGAGTCGTCTGAGAGATGGCGCCTCTGCTGGGATGGGCCAGAGAAACAGACAAGGGAAACATGGGGGTGAAAAGATGGAGACGAGAAAGCAGGCATGATGGTGGGCACAGAGCGAGAGGGAGAAGATGGAAGGAACAGAACTTCCTGCTTTTCGCAACTGGGTAGACTGTGACTCTCACCGAACACCGGACGCTGAACTTACTGGTTCTTAGAAACTGCCTTCATTCATTTCAGACCAACAGATGGCATGGGTGTGTTTGCTAGCACAGCAACATGTTTCACCATTAAAATACCAAAAAGGGAAAAAGAACCGACGTGCCTGTCGGTTGGTGTAAATTCATGAAGTTGTTGGGTATTTTGGGATCCAGACCAGACGGATGCACACTTGGTTTATGTAAATCAAAACAAGCAACAGCCCATGAACAAGGGCATCTCGTGGCAATGTACCTCCAAAGCCATTGTCTTCTTTTGGAAAGGTGCAGAAGGATGAAGTGGAAAGAGCTTGGCTTTAATTCTGAGCCAAAATTAAAAAGCCCAATAAAATGCTGAGCATTCACTGCTCATTATAACATGAAAAGTACTAATCAGATTATGCCCAAAATTGGAGTTAGGGACTTCATTTGCAGCCAATTTCACAAGGGCTGAATTTTCTTAAGTAAACCGGAATGTGCCGAAACCATGGCGATCTGACTCAAGATAAAATTCACAAACAGGACTAGAACACGAGCTTTGAACAAACAGTCCCGTTCACATCCAAGGGAAACAGAAAAACAGCTCAGAGGTCAGATGCTGTGTGACACCAGCATTAACAATTTAGGAAGCTGGTGTTGCCAGGGAGCGTGTGCTGCTGAGCACACAGCAGATTACAGCAGAGGGGAGATGACAATCCAGTCACTCCAGCTTCAGGGGGCGTCTCAGCCTCGCTGGTCTTCTGAGTTCCCTTCTATTTTCCATTTACTCTGTCTTAATAGACCCTTTGCAAGGCTGACTTTTTTGTTTTTGTTTTTCTATGAGTGTGGTACTGGAAAATGAACCCCAGGCCTTCAGTCTGAGCTACATCCCCAGCCATCTGCCTATCTGTCTATCTAATTTTGAGACAGATTCTTACCGAGTCACTTAAATTGCCAGGATGGGCTTGAGTTTGTGATCCTCCTGCCTCAGCCTCTCAGACTGCTGGGATTATAGGCGTGCACCACCACGCCTGGCTAAGGCTGACTTGCTGCTGAAAGAGAACTTGGAAGTTAGAATGTTTGCAAAGTGGAGAGATCCAGGGTTGATAGCTGTCTGGGTCTCCCAGGCCATGGATCTGATGGCCCATGCTACCAGAGAGAGCATGAAGCTTTTCTCCTGCAGCTCGAGAGGGCCTGGCACCCATGACGCTGAGCTAACGTTTGCCTTCGCTTTCCTGGATTCCCATCCAGCGGCTGTAACGAGTGTTGGTAGAACACATGGATGAGGAGCTTTATAGTGGTGGAGTGGCCAAAGGTGTGATGTAGAAGCACACTGTTGGTTGTTACACTCCTGACTTTCGGTAGCACAAGCTCCCTCTTGCTTTTGTCTAAGCTTGGCCTAATTATTGGTGGCCAGAGTGCTACAAATCAGAATTCCACAGAGATGCCCTGCACTGGTCCTAGGTAATGTTTCCATCTGACCTGACAACTCTGAGCTACTGTTTCCTCACACACACCACTTAACTCAGACCACATTTGGAAGTAGGTCGTAGACCTACATCCGTCTGGTTTAACTCTCCCGTCCTGGCTTGTCTCCTGCATTGGACTGAGACTCCATATTGGCTTACATAATGCTTTCTTGTCCCTTCTTTGGTTTGCTATTTTCCTAGATAATCATTGCTATTGAAACGTCAGTATAGTGTTAAAACTTAAAAAAAAAAACCACTCCTCAGCAGTGAGCAGCTTTAAAGTTTTATTAGTGCCATAAAAACCCTTCCCACATGAAACTACTTTTGATAAGCATTTGCTCTGACAATGCGAATTTGTGGAGGGCTGTTGGCAGTGGGAGGAATTCGGTTTTGAAACTGAAATTGGCAGGAAGTGATGGCTCCCGGTGCTTTCTTTCTCCTGACACCAATCCCCTCTCAGGGCACCTTTCTGTCCTCCATTCCACCTTCATTCTCCCCAACCCAACCCCAATAAAGAGCATATTTGGACTCATATGGTTTTTCATGGGATAATTCAAATACTGAAGCAGAATTTCAACCTTTCAGCTTTTCTTAACTGTGGAGCAAAGTCTGTCAAATCAAAGGGGAAAAAAATGTATTTGCTAAGTATTTCACAAAGGGATTCCCTGGTACTGTTGTTGCCATCCACCTGAATAAGTGGGACATTTTCTTGTAATGTGGAGTGTCACATTCCTGCGAGCTCCTTCTTAATTGAATGTCAAGATGCAACTCAGTTGCAAAAAATAAAACAAGTGAGTAAAAAAACATATACATGGAGAAAAGGAAAAAGAAATCTTTATTTTTTACCCCCCAAATGTGAATAGGCTGACAGATGAGCCCGCCATGATCCAGATGTCTTATATTTATTAAATGAGAACATTCCAGTTAAAGAACTTAGTTAATGCCCGATCAATAAATAATTGCCTATTGTGCCTTCCCACTTGGAAAGGAGTAGTGACGAGCAGGATGCCATGGCTGTGTCGTGGTAGATCTCAACCATGAGAAAGCCACCTCGAATGAAGTCTAGAAATCAGAGGTTCATCTGCCAGATTGGGTGACTTTTCAAATATCACTTTTATGATAGACAGGAAATTTGAGATCTAATAATGGTGTCGAGACTCTGAATCCTTGAAAAGTTCACTTCTGTTCCTCTTCATAATCAAACTAAACTTAGAAGTCCATTTTTATCAACACTTACAGAATGAAGCTCGATTGAAAATAGTAAAAACTCTTGAAGACTTTGATCTGGGCCCAGCTGAAAAGTGTGTGCGAGTCAGCTCGGTGTCCAGCGGCCTGGCCGAGGAAGACCTGGCAGCTGTTCTGCAGTCCCGGGTGCTCCCTTCCAGCCTGATGCTCCCCAAGGTGGAAAGTCCTGAAGAAATCCAGTGGGTGAGTAGAATGCTTTGCTCTGAGACTCAGGTCAGCTGGCCAGTGTAACAGCAGAAAGAAGGACTGGGTACCCTTGGGTTTTGATTTGGGTTGGTGGTTTTTTCCAGTACTGGAGATTGAACCCATGGTCTTCATTCCAACTTTTTGATTGTTTGTTGTGAGACATGGTATTGCTAAGTTGCCCAGGAGGGACTAGAACTTACCATCCTCCTGCCTCAGCCTCTTAGAGTGCTAGGATTCCAGCCATGCACCACCATTCCCTTGATTTGGAAAGGGAAAATTCATACAAAGAGCAGAGAGGAAGGGAACAGCGACAGAAGACTGAGCGCAAGCAACCCTTCCCTCCTCCTAGTAACTGGCTTTTCCCAAGTATACCAGGGAACAGCTCTACTTTTGAAATGATGCTTCTGCTCCCTGATGGGATTTGAGGCTTGGACAAATCAGCCTCCCCGAAGCGCCCTAGAACAGTCCCTGGATAGGAGCCAGCCCTCTGTCCCTGCTCCTACCCCCGCTCCCGGGCCCAGGCCAAGGTTTCCACCCAGAAGAGCCATGACGTACACAGCCTTTGCTGAGCCACACTGAAGTCATCATAGGCCGCTGAGGACATGAGCTGTGTATGAAAAACTGAGCCAAAGTAAGGGACAAAAAGGTCACCTCTGGGGGCAGCTAGATGAATACACAGGAAGCTTTTAACTGGTGGTTTTAATTAGCAAAGATATTATTTCCTGAACAGCTCTCTAGTACGTCCTTTTTAAATTGCTGACAGGTGTGTTTGAGTTTCAGGACAGACTTTTCAGCCAATAAAAACGTGAAATGTAAAGTGGCTGGCACATCAAATTACTTAAGAAAGCTTTTGAAATAGGCCCAATTATACTATCATTGTTTTAACTGTGAAACAGTATGGGGGGGATAAATTTATTTAGGGGTTGCTATTATTCTGCAGGTCTCTGTTGAATGAAATACCATTTTATTTTGCTACTTCAGGGCGGAAGCTATGAGATTCGAGAGCTGGCTGTGTTTGTTGTCAGGGCGAGTGAGCAGAGGGTTCAAAGTGTTATCTCAAGGCCAAGAGTGGTGGCACATACCTGTAATCCTAGCACTTGGGAGGCTGAGGCAGAAGGATCTCCAAGGCAGCCTGGGCTACCTAATGTGTTCAAGGTTAGCCTGAACTCAGTAGTGAGACCCTGTCTCAAAAAATGAAAACAATAGGCCAGGGATTTAGCTCAGTTGTTCCGCCGCCTGCCTCACAAGCACAAGGTCCCGAGTTCGATCCCCAGTACCAAAAATATTTTTAAAAAGAAAAAAATAAATAAATAAAAACAATAACAACAACAAATATTATCTCGAAGGGTCTAGATGCAATCACAGCAAAACACTGAGTGGTTATAATACTAATAAAACTGCTCGCCTGCTTACTAAATCTGAATAGCTTGGACCTATTGTGTGCGACACAGGGGCCATCTGCCACATGGGGCTACTGTGCACTTGAAATGTGGTCCTTGAGGGCCAGGGATTTAGCTCAGTGATTTGGCTGCCTTCCTCACAAGCACAAAGTTCCAAGTTCCATCCCCAGGACCAAAAAAAAAAAGGTGGCCCGTGAGAACGGAATGTGCTACAAGTGTAAAATGCACACCTGATTTTGAAGACTTGGTGAGGGGAGAAGAATGTGAGTATGAACCACCTCGGTAATTTTTACATTGATTGCTCATTGAAATAATATTTTGGATCTACTAGGTGGAATACAAGATATTATGAAAATTAACTGGATCTGTCTCTTTAACTCTTTGACCACCCATAGCTATTAGGAATTTTAAAATTAAAAGCAGGGCATGGTGGCACATGCCTGTAATCCCAGCACTTGAGAAGCTGAAGCAGGAGGATTGCTGTGAGTTCAAGGCCAGCCTGGATTATATAGCAAGACCTCATCTCAAAAAAAACAAGAAAAGAAAATTTAAAGTCATACTTACAGATGCCCTTGTGTCTCTGTTGGGCAGCTCTGTGTTGGGCTCTTCTTAAAGACCTGTAGGGAAGGGCCAGTACTTATTACTAAACTGAGGTTCTCTCCAAGGTCACCCTGAAAACTGGGAGGTTCCGTGGGAGCGTGTTAGGGTCTTGAGGGCTCTGACTCCTCTGGGACATGTCTTAGGTTGATGGAAGTGGACAGAAGTCACCGTCCCTGTCAGGTCTCACCGGTGATGCCCGCTTATCTCCGGCATCACCCTTTATCATAGAGGGGACCCAGCCCAGCCTCCTCGGATGCCCGGGAGCGCGCTGGAATTGAAGCAGCACTTCTAGTTCACAGAAAGTCTTTGGGGCTGTTTATTTTTTCCTCTCCATTTGTATTTATGCGAAGCGTAAAACCCAGAGCCTGATGCACAACTCAAAGATGGGCTTACTTGTTTCCTTTTGTGTGAGAATCTCTTGCTCGCCTTTTGTCGCTAGTGTGGGTTCTTGTTTGACTGGCACAGCTTATTGGACTATAACAAGCGTAGCTCTGCCTCTTTTGTCGCGGGACAATTCTCCCACAAATCCCGAACAGTGTGCATTCTTCCAACACACTATTGGGTGTGCACTGGAATTGAAAGAATTGCTGAGCCTCGCTACTTCATCTCCTCCCCAATCTCTTTGTAATTTCTCCCCCTTCTTTTCCTCCCCCCACCCCAGCTCCCTCCACCTCGCTGAAATGAACACTTTACCAGGCCGGAAACATTTAATCGTCTCCTTTTGAAAAAAATTAATTGAAACTTCTCCACTAGTTACCTTTTGTGTTAGTACTTAATGCAATTTTTTAAGAAAGAGTGGGAGGGGGGAGAGGGCAGAGGGGCTGCCATATTTAATTTTTTAAATGCCCCTACTGGTTTAAAAATAAAGAACATTCGAGATTTTACTTGCTAAGAACAGGGTGAATCTTTTAAAGGCTTTGCCCAGTTGTAAACTTTACAATTTTTGTAGTTAGAAGAATTATCACAGAGAACAGGGCAAGTGGCTTTTGCAAGTTTTCTCTCTTTTTTTTTTAATGAAAAAAGAAAATCTACATAGTCAACACCAAAAAACCACTAATATTTCAGCACCTGCTTTCTAGCATAATTGTGACCTAAATTATGTTTCCTCTCCCTCCGCGTCGAAGGCCACAGGGCTCTGTCCCCTCGCACTGCACTGCGGCTTCTCTCGTCCTGGCTGAGTTAACCCTTGCCTTGAAAGTTACGGAGGTGAGGCTGCCTGAGGCAGGGAGGGCAAGGAGCAAGGGGAACCGTCCTTCATTACTGAAAGCTGTGATTTATTTTAGCCTAATTGTAAAGTTACTGCAAATTGCTCAAAAGCTTTTTAAAGATCCCAGTGATTAGATTTTTTTTAAGGGGGGGGGGATTTGCAGCCGAGGAGGGGCAGCTAAAAGGGGAAATAACACCTCTAATCCCGCTTCTGGTAAATAGGCTGCCAGCTTTTAAAATGAGTTTCCTTTCTATTAGTCAGAATATTATGCTAAGCCTTAAGCATTAGTTTTTTTATGTTGCCATAGCAGCCTTATTCCTGCAGGGTGGTGACCTGTGATGATTACAGTACAAAGCTTATAGGGTCTTGAAACCCCCTTTGAAGATGAAAAGTCTTTGATGGTTTATATTTATGCAAATCTCTTAGATATGATTTACCCAACTGAGACTGAATGGAGAGATGATTAAAATTCCCTTTTCCTTTGATATCCATTAATGGCTGAATATCCCTTAAATTTAAAATGGATATATTTATGTTTTCATCTTTATTTACAAAAATATCTTTATCACACCTGTGTTTCTTTTTTTTTTTAATCTCTCCACATCTTATTAGATCTAGATAGACATAATAGATTTACAATTTAGATTGTGGGGAGTTTTTCCCCCCTTTTGAAGGGGGGGTGGGGGGAATCTGGGCCAGAGCTTTTGTATGTTTCCAGATGATAGATTTTGGAATTTGGGCTACCCCACTGGCAGCCAGAGCTAGCTGTGAACTGGTCTCATGGAAAAAATTGGCGAGCTTTGGTCTTCAAAGAATTAAACTTCCTTTTTAAGGTCTTCCTAGGTAAGCTAAAAAATTATGGAGAAAAACCACCCGAACAAAGGGTAATGATGCTATAATGAATAATATGGATTCCACGTAGAAGGCTGCGGAACAGTTCCGGCGATGTCAGTGCTGGGCACGGAACAAAAACAGAGCCGCAGGTAGAGCAGGACCGCATTGTTTTAAGGGCCCACATTTGCATTTAACGCAGAGGGCCAGAGGTCTCCAGTAAATATGTTTTCACGAGAAGCATTTAAACCCAGGAATCTCTCCTTCCAGCCTGACTCCTAGGCCTCAAATTGCTCTTTAGGTGAAAAAAGAAATTGTAATGCTTGGGGTTTTACTGTTTAGTTTGGTGGTAACTTTGTAACCTTTTTTCTTTTCATTTTCTTTTTTCTTTTTTTAATTCCTTTGTGTGGATGAAGGAGGCTGGGATATTACTTCCTCAGGCCAAAGACTCAAATACTCTACTACTTCTGCGCCTACATTTCAGGGATTGTACCTTTTTCTTTTCTTTTCTTTTCTTTTTTTTTCTCCCACTAATCACCTATGACACTTTTGATTTTAGTTTGCGGGCAAATTTTCATTCCACTTAAAAGGCCGAAAACTCGAACAACCAATGAATTTAATCCCTTTTGTGGAAACCGCAATGGGTTTGCTCAATTTTAAGGTAAGAAAACCATAACATTGGATACATAAGTTAGTATTTTATTTATCACCAAAAGAGAACCTTTGCTTTCGATTTTAACATCTATTTAAAATATTTTTAAGGAAAGATTTACCAGCAAGGTAAACCTTGAGCACCATCTGTTATCTGTAATAGTCCAAAAACCAGGTTGTCAGCATCTTAGAAAACAAAGAAATAGGTTAAATAGAAAGGAAAAGCTTCCCAGTCCTAAAGATTTAAACGAAATATTTACATATCTCTAATAACTTTAATTAAATAATCACCGTGTAAATATATGCTTTGGATGATTACATTTATAGATTAAATGTACATGGGAAATTAATTCTGTTACCCTTATGAGTTAACTTTGAATTGTTCTTTTTCTATCAGTAGCCTTTTCATGGAGACCTTTTCTCACCTCCTTGTAAGCAAGGCATCCAGACTGTAGCAGATGAGATTATTGTTTCTAAGTTCGTGTACACAAATAATCGACAGTCTACTATTTTACTTTGGCACATTAGAACTAAAAGTATTTTTAAGTATACATTCAGGGGAATTGGCCAAGTCAAGTGTTTTCAACCATTTTGTGGGGCCCTCAGCTACCTGCCTTGCCAGACCCATCGCTGGCCTGTTTTTGTTCCCTTTTTTCGTGGGCATTTATATTTTGTTTTCCAAATATGCCTCTCAATCGCCCTGGCCTGTGATAGCAACTTAGCACCCCGGTGCCCCCTCCACAGAGTTTCTAGCCCTCTTTTTTCTTCTTCTCCCGCAGAGGGCAAGAGAAAGAGATTACTAAAAACAAAGGAAAAAGATAGTTGACCTGGGCTGGGGAGAGACTGTGTGAGCAGATGCTGGAGAGAAAACTTTGAGACCTGTGGGATTGTGCAGGAGGGGCTGAGTGCAAATGTCTGGGGGGGCTGTTTCAAGCCTCACCTCGTGATCAGCTCATTTACACAAATAACCACAAATTCCTCCAGCCCACCCTAGAACCCTCGGAATGGGATCGACAACACATCCCTTCGAAGCAACCAGATTCATACAGTGATTTAATTTTAAGCACTGTTTCGCCTTTTTATTCTATAATGTACTAAGGGGCCCTGGCAATGCCTGAAATTAATCAACAGTGTCCCTACTGGTTCCTCATTTCTTTTCCACCTACATGTGTATTAGCAGTTTACATCCCCACCTTTCAAGATTCCCAGTCCTGTCTATAGTGAATGTTATTAATCTTCAGTTTCATTCAGAGATGTCAAAGTTGCTTTATTAAACCACCGTGGAGGACTTGTTGCATTTTTATTTTCCCCTCTGAAGCTATAGGTTTTGTATCAAATGCCTTTAATCCTGAGACCATTTACTTGATCCTAATGCAAATAATCAAATTAGTTTGATTTTAAAATTCTTTCCTTCTTGCCCATGGTTTTATGTTTATTATTTAAGAACCTCTTAAAGCAAAAACAAATTTGGAAAAATATAAATAACTTCTAGTACAATCAAAATGAGTTAACTTGAAATTTCTCTAGAAGTTGGGTGACTTACAATTTGAACATTATAACTATATTACTGTGTAGCAATGGGTATTACTATAATCCCCTGAGCAAAGCAGATATCTACAGAGTGCTTATTTTGGATGGTGTTAAACGCCTTTGGGAAGGGTTAAATTTGGGCTGCAGTTTTAGGCTGGGAGTCGGGTCTCCCTGCTGATTGAGGAGCCCGGCTCCTTCTCTGCTTTGAACGTTTCTGTAAGACCTGGTTCTCCTCTGCTTTTTGCAGGCAGTGTGTGAAGAAGCCCTTAAGATTGGGCCTCAAGTGGGTCTTTTCCTAGATGCAGTCGTTTTTGGAGGAGAAGATTTTCGAGCCAGCATAGGTGTCGAAGACCTTTCTCTCTCGTTCTCTCCCTCTGTGTGTGTGTGTGTGTAATTTTTCTTTGCACCTCACAAATGGATATTTGCATAACAATGTTTCTTTACCAACCATGCAAATGTCTGTTCATAACAATGGCATGGACACCACTTCCTGATCATTTAGGGCTCCTCATAGCTGTCCTGCTTCCAGAACACTGCATTATTATTTCTGCTCATTAATAAAATAACTAATAAAAAGCCTGTTGCAGCTTCAGGTATGTTTACGAATATATGGCATCTAGTTGGCTCCTAATAAATTTATTATGCCAAAAATCTTCCAATAACTTAGATATTTTGTCTTCATATCAATCTGGGGGCTGCCTAGGATTCTAAAACAAATTTCAGGCAATTTTACATTGGCCTCAGTGAATTGTTTTCTACATAACTGTAGTATGTAAATATCATTTAAGACAAGTCTAAAATTTATCTTAAAATATGTTCCAGAATTCTTCTCATTAAATATTTACTGGGACACCACCAGTTTTCACCAATTTTTTCTGTCCCTTCGGCCCTGGCCTCTGTGTAACTGGAGACCTTGAGGGCCAAGGCCACGGGACCTGGAGACGCTTTCCCTGAGCAGTGAGTGTCAGGCATCATCCAAGTATAAAAAGTGACACCTCCTCGTCCCTCCAGGCTGAAGAAAGGAATTGATTTTAATAGCAGTCTTTGCTGGAGACTTCCGTGTGGCCGACAGTTCAGCGGACTACGCAGGCAGATTGACACTTTGTGCCTCTCCCAAAATGAGTGTCTGTCTCATTTCCTGAGTGCCCCAGCCAGATGTTTGATGCAGAACCTCAGTCAGGACAGGGGTCGCACACCCAGCACAATGGGCCCAGGCCGGCACCTGCCGTTCTATGCCCAGAGTGAGAGGTGGCCGCTTCCCCTCGCAGCTTCCTGGCCACTTTTTGTGGAGCCATCTTTGGGCTGACACTTGGGAGTGATGACAAGAAGGAGAAAATCTATCAGGAGTCCCTGGGACCCTGATTCCGCCTCCTGAAAGGAGGAGGGGCCTCTCCTCGATGCCTGCAGAAGTGACTGTGTTGGAAGATGCCCTACCAGGGAAATAGACACATGAGATTTAACACCGCCTGCCCACACCCACTCTTCCTTTCTATTTGAAGAAATATTATTTTGTTGAGGAGCAATTCCCAGGGAGACATAGATGTCTTTACAAACTGAATTTTTATAAGAAATGTCTGGGTTTGGTTTCCAGAGTTAAAGCCTCTTTTTGTGTCCACATCCCATTTTCAGGCGCAACAAGTAGTAAAGACACCCAGGACATTGTCTACGCCCGACAAAAGATTGTCATCGTGGCCAAGGCCTTTGGCCTACAAGCCATAGATCTGGTGTACATTGACTTCCGGGACGAAGATGGGCTGCGTAGACAGTCGAGAGAAGCCGCCGCCATGGGCTTCACTGGTAGGATTCTGATGATGTCTTAGAAGCTGCATCTAGATTAGCAAGTGCTCTGGAAAAATAGAAATTTAGCCAGGAAATACATTTCTCATGTCCTCAGCGATCACTTGTAATTATTCCACAACCTCCAACATGAAAAGGCCAAGAGCATAAACCACCTGCCAAATCAATTGTCAGCGTTTTCTTTGGCTCTGCAAATCAAAAAGCAAACCCTTGTTTTATTTTTTCTTTATATTCATTGCCTTTTTCCTCCTGTCCTCTTAAGAATTTTAGTACAGTTTTGGCTGATCCGAGGGAAGCTGCTTTTACAGGAGTGTTTTGGAGTGAATTGCCATAAAAAGTTGGGTCCATGCGTGGATGAAAATTTTCTTAAAATACCCAACATGTTCATTTATTTCTGAAAAACAATTGCTGATGTCCTTCTATAATTTGTTTTTTACTCAGAACTAGTTTTTTGTTCTTCTGCCACTTCAAGCCTCTCCTACCTCCCAGTAAGTGAGCTGGCGACACGGCATCGGCTGGCAATAGGAGCAGCAGGTCCCTCTGAGCTCGGCCTGGGGCATAGGCAGGCAGCTGACGATTGGCTGGTCCCCTCACTCTGCTCCCCGTGGGCCAGGGGAGCAATCAAAAATTGGAGTGTTTTTTTGCAGCAGAAATCTATTTTTTGAAAAACCACAATAATTTCCTGTGCATAAACACACATGTGAATATATACACACACAACCAGCAATCACAGAAAATACCATGTGTTCTTTTATTCTTATTTGTTTTCACACTGAAAGTTCCAAGAATATTTATACTAGAAATATACTCAAATAATAAGGTGAAAACAAGCACTGTGCTATCCCTATTATAGATCTTTGGGAATTGTATCTCGTTAAGGGTTACTAAAAGAACAGTGCCCTCAAACATAAACGGTATCTTTTTTTTTTTTTTTCTTTTGGTACCAGGGATCGAACTTGGGCCTTTGCCCTTGCAAGGCAGGCGGCGAAACCACTGAGCTAAATCCCTGGCCCCATAAATGGTATCTTAATGGGTGATGCTTTAACCTGAAATAAAATTGAAAGATTTAGAAAGCAATATAATAGCCAGGCACAGTGGCACACACCTATAATCCCAACCACTTGGGAGGCTGAGGCAGGAGGATCACAAGTTCTAAGCCAGCCTGGACAACTTAGCAAGAGTCTCAAAATTAAAAATTAAAAAATAAGAAGGACTGAGGATGTCACTCAGTGACATAGTGACCCTGGGTTTCCTTCCCAATACCACAAAAAGGAAAAAGCTGTATTATCAACATTAAGGTTGTTAGAATTAAAGCTCTGACATTTGCTTTCTCTGTGTTTAAGATAAAGAACTAAAGTAAACTAAGCCCCTGATTTTTAAAATTTAAAAAAAAATGTGGTCTGTTACAGAGAAATATTTTTTCAGTGCTACAAACTATCATTAAGTGAATGTTCCCTACATTTAAGTGACTGGCAAAGAAAGGCGCCCCTCCCTCTGCCTCCTCCCCAGGCCTGAGCTTGTAACCTGCCTCTTCCATGACCGGGCCAGGTTGTGCCCCAAATGGGACAGTTAGAGAAAAGCTCCATGAAATCTATCTAATAGACCCCGATGTTGTTGGCCGAAAATGTGTGGCTCTGGCTGCCAGGCAGCCAGATGTTGCTCCGAAATGCGAACTAATTCAATAAAAAAGAGAAAGCCCTGGCCTGCATCCCCAGCCTTGGGTATAGGTTTCCTCATCTTCCTCTGGAGTTGTGTTTGCCCCAGAGCTTCGAAGGGAGCTTGAGGGGGTCCCCAAGACAGAGGACTGAATTAAATTGGTCCCCAATTCAATCGCAGGAGACAAGTGATTTCAAATCAGGTTTAAATTTCTAGACTGTGCCCAACTCAGCACGAGGAACTTATGGACCTGGCACTATTGTTTCTCCACACGGGGAGCATTAAATCGCAGAGAAACGGAGGCGGGGCACGGGAGCCACTGGAGCACCGTGCCCAGAGTGCACTCCCGGGAACGTGGCCGCAGACATGGGCCACACTCCAAGGCCATTTTGCGTGTTTTTTTTTTTTCACAGAGAAGGTCTTTGTTGTCCCACTTATATTTCTGCATACTAATCAAAGGTAATTAAAAGTTAGATTATTTATAATATTTTAAAATGCTCTTTTACTGAGTATTTTAGACCACTCTCTATTTGTACTAATTGGCATTTAATTGCCATACCTTGGGCCTCACACAAGAAAGGAGGAAAGAAAGGAAAAGAAGCAAAAGAATAAAGGAAGGGAGGGAGGAAGGAATAAATACTGTGACCCAATTCTGAAATATCTATCTGAAGCAGGTGAAAGAGTTAGAATCCAGGGCTGGCACTGTGTTATCTGTAATAGGTACTGGTAAGGAAGACTCAATCTGGGCTATAAAGATATTCTGTGCTTTTAAATATATATAGTTTTTCTTAATAAGTCATGTTTAAAAGTTAGTCATATACCAACTGTACGCTATGGTTTCTTTTCTGCAGTCATTATTTCATAGTGTCACGATCCATATTGATTGATTTTAAATCAATGCATTGGCTGTATAAATAGCCATTAACTTTGAGAGTTTTTTTTTAATAAAAAGACACCCAAACTAAATCTAGGGATAAAGCTTTACCAGCTGACTTAGTCATTACAGTTACTCCAGTACTACATGCTGAGAAGAAAGATTATAAGTATGAAGCACTATAGGTTTTCTTCTTTTTCGCAGCCTTTTGTAGAAGACAAAAATGACACCATCATACAGTTACCTAAAAGACTTGACAGGTATTGATTTAAAGCAAGATATACCAAGTGGTACTGTAAAAAGGATTTCATGGCCATAAATTTTAATGTTGTCCAATTTTGCACCCTCTCAGTAACTTGTCAATAATAACTCTTCCGGATAAAATATTTGCTCTGTTCCCACATGGCATGCAAGCCTGTTATACAGTTGTTGGGATGTAGACGAAGGCTACAAAAGAGATCCTCATGTATTTTTTTTTTTTTTTTGTACCAGGGATCGAACTCAGGTCCTTGTGCTTGTGAGGCAGGCGGTGGAACCACTGAGCTAAATCCCCAGCCCAAGATCCTCATGTATGAATGTACATGGATTTCTAAAATCTCACACATCTTAAAATTAGCCTCACTACCAAAATACAAGTACTTGAGACCCATTAAAGATTTCACAATATTTTCAGGAGTTTCTGTTTGCTCCTCAAATTGTAGTGCCTCAGTCAAGAGTTTTCCATGAAACTTGGCTTTTTACACATCAGTGGAAATTATGTACATAAATTATGAAATTCAAGACTAACAGTTAGTAGCAAATGACTGATAGAACTGACAGCCTTATTAACAATATTGTAACTATTAGATTACTTAAATATTAAATACCTACTATTTGAAAGAGCTCTTGTTTGACATCATTCATGTTATGTTTCTAGAAATTATTCTTCAAATAATTTAATCTTTACTTATATAGATTTTTAATGTATAATTAGCATGCCAACAGATAAGAAGGAAATAGCAACATGAAGGTGTTTTAATTGTGCCACAAAAAAGCAAAGATGTTTTATTTAGCCACTTACATTCCTCTCATGAAACACTAAAACATTTTTTAAAAAACATTGTTCCTTTTTATTGGACAAAATAATGACAGTAACGTTTTAACATTTGGCATTTTATAAAACATCCAGCATGTAGTCTGTACTGACTAAATGTTAAAACAGCTATTTCAAATGAAAAGCTAATTGATATACCAACACATATACAGAGTAAATGCCCATTAAGTGTATATTCATTTTTAAGGAACCAAATTATATCCATAACCTTATCATGTAATAAAATATAATCTCATCATTATTGTAACAACATTAAATTATGTTGCATTTTATTAATGACCTGACTAGATTCCAAACTTCCCTGATTGACAAATTATTTTCCTAATGACAATATGATTTCACAGAACCCCTTGACTCTTATGTTTGTATGATGTTTTTGTTTAAAATCCTTAAACTTCAAAGCAAATCACAAGTATTTTTTAGATATTTCTATAGAAGTAATATTTCTTCTGGGATGTGTAAGTTGCTGTGAAGGAGAAAATAGCCAGTCTTCGTTCTATAAGCATAAAGGGGAAATCTGGATATTTTGAGGCTAGAGAAATTTTCTGTAATTTTTTATTTTAAAAAATTAGAATAATCTAGAGGTCGTATTGTTCAAAATCTGCCTTCTATTTTACTGTACTGAATATACTATTTTTATTGAAATTCAATTTTCTGTTAGGGATGAGAAATGACACATTTTAAAGACATGTATCATTCATTATAAGATACCATTTGACATTAATATAGCCATAACACCTGCCACAAGCCCTATGCAAACTGACATGCCATTCCTACAGGAAACCATGGAATGTGGTGTCCTCCCTCATAATAAGCAAAAGAGAACTTAGAAAATTTGAAAGAATTCTCATTGAATTTAATTTTCCTTTAACTCAAGATAATCGCTGTAATTTGTGGACATCATCCTTTAACATTCAGTGAGCTGCCTTGGCATCCACCTGTAACTAAAACTGAGAGGTAGCTGCTCTGAAGTGGCCCTCACAATGCCTTCCATTATTGTACCTGTTCTTACATGCTATTCTGGAAAAGCCTGCCTGATGACAGGTTTGGGATTTTTTTGTTGTTTTCTTTTGTCTTCAAAAAAGTTCTAAACTCGTTATTTAGCACACCGTCTGGGGGACATTCAGGAACCTTTTGTGTGGACACATCTTGTCTTAACATCTGTCAGTGGTACAAGGTTCTGGTGATATTCATGTCTTGTAGGTAAGCAGGTAATCCACCCGAACCAAATAGCCGTGGTCCAGGAGCTGTTCACCCCTGCCCCCGACAAAATCCAGTGGGCGGAAGAACTGATTGCTGCCTTTAAAGAGCATCAGCAATTAGGAAAGGTAAATGTTTTGTTTCCAAATGTTTTGTTATGTTTTGCCTTGGCTGGAACTGGTGTTTAAAATACTGTGCGGAAGAATTTTTAAAAATATGTGTGAATGGTTTTAGGAAAACTCATTGTATTTGGTGGGGAGTGTGAAGAGTGGAGCAGACACCAGATTCATCATCTGAAGGTAGATTCACCCTTCCCCGTCCCTAAATATTTCACTAACAGCTTCTCAAATCTCTCGTTTTATTCTTTCCATAAAATATCTTGGCAGCCTTAGAGAAAATAGAAGTCTGTTTAGTTTTTCCTCTACAGACTTCAATGCAGCATTCATATGAAAATAATTTTAGATCAAAGTGAGAGCAAGTTGTAATGAAATAAACACAGTTTGACCAAATGGTTCTTGTGGAGAAAAGAAATAAATTTCAAGTTATTTTAATTTCGGGGGGAAAAGTACAAAAATCTCCTTCGGTTTAGTCATTTAAGAGTAGGAGGTTGTATGTGTGTTTGCACCAATTTCTGGTCCTGCGATTTGGATCGAATGGAAAGCAAATTAACACTGGAGTATGGTTGTTCCTAATTTAGTGCGTCATTGAGCCCGTTTCCTGCTCCGTGGGTTTCTGCTATGTAAATATTGCAGTGGTAATGCACAATCTGTCTCCACTTTGTGCCAGTAACACTTAAATTAGGTGTCGCCTGAAGGAAGATTTTATGCTAGTTGCAGCATTGTCAGTTAATTATCTTAAAGGTTATTTGCAATAATACCGCTTGCCTCTTTTCAAGAGGATAGGAAAGTTACATTTATAAATCTATGCCAGAGGTAATCTCCAAACTCAGCCTGTGACTTCCATAAGGGATGAAGTTTCCGTGCTTTCAATGCAAATTACTTCGGAAAGAAAGAATATGGAAAAATTATTAAGGATCTAAATGTTAAACAGTCTCCCTTGCCAGAAAAAAAAAAAAAGATGAAAAAAACCTGGTTTTCAGGAGTGAAACTGTGACAATCTTGTGAGATGCATGCGAGGAATGTCCCTTGCACTGTCTCTGGCAACAAGAACACCTGAAAATCCTAAGCCTTGCAAAAGTAGGTAATATTATTATTAAGTGGGTCATTCCCTATGGACATCTGCCTTCAACCCTGCCCATGCATGCATGTTCACACACACACTACACACACACACACACACACACACACACACACACACAGAGGAGCTCATCTTTGCATAAACTCACAGTTAATATCCCAAAGCAGAGTATGTATGTTACTTTGGAAACACCCAATTTGGACATGTACCAATTTCATGATAAATAGCATATTTCATTTCACATCCACAGTGGCCATCAGAAAAATAATGCATTTCATAGAAAAATATTTTCAAACTGACAGTGTATTCTGTGTCAATTTCTCTATCTTAACCCAAAAATCACAATCTTGCATGAACAGACATAGATATTTATCTAGCGAGAGGTGCATGGACTCTCATTCCTACATGCAAACCCCTCCACTCCCCTCTCTCACACACCTGCCTGCAGACACACACACTAAATGCTTTATGTGCCTATGCCAGCTGAGGGTCTGTGTGCGATAAACACATTCTATTGAGACAGGAAACTGAGGCAGCCCAAGCTCCATTTAGATGACAGACAGCACAGTTCCAGTCTAGGCTCGCATTGTCCCCATGAGCTGTCCCAACGGGGTCTGGCGTTGGATAGCATCAGGGGCCGCCACCTGGCATGGTAAACAGTTAGGCTATGGGAGAGGTCACCCTAAATTTCAGCAGCCAGCAAACAAAACTCCAACCAGAAACGTGCTTTTCCTGGCATGTAAGTTCATGAATGAGGAAAACAACCTTTTCCCACTGTGCCTAGAAAATACTGTTCCTAAGGAAAATTGTCCCAAAGTTGCCCCTGCCTGTTGATGAGGGCAACTTTAATGTTAGATTCTGAGCTGTTCATTGTTTTTTGTGTTTTAAATAAGAGATGTCCCTTGTTGGGGCAGAAGCTTTCACAGCAGTGTAGCGGGACAGCTTTTCCCAACACACAACCATAGAAACTAGAGCAGAGGAGAGACTGTTAGGTCATTTCTTCCCTGGCCCGTTCTTGGAAGTTTGTTTCCTACAGCAAATTCTCCTGGTGCTTTGTCCAGCTAGGTTTAAATGATTCGAGTAATAGGGCTTCCAGTAGGGACCTATGGTTATTTTATCCAGTTAGCATGTTTCTTTCACTTTACCTATAAACTGGCTGGTCACAAAAATTGGGCCTGCGGGTAGGTGACTCTGGGTCATGAAGAGTTCTTGGGGTTTTAAATAGTGTGAGTTCTGTTTGCAAAGATTTCATATAAATAGGCTGCTTAGCTGGTGAAAGATATTGCCTCCGACAAACATCTAATCTGTTTTATTTCACATGTGAATCACATGTGATTAAAACATTGAACCCTCAAATACTTTGTCCAGACCAGATGCCTCTCAAACATGGGAAACTGATGGCTGGTGTCCCAATGAGACACTCATACATTTCTAAGAGACCCACCCTGTGCCATGAAAATGTCACCCAAGTTGTGTTTTTAAGTAGAAATGACCCCAGAAGGCAAAACTGTGTATCTTTGCTTTCTTCTGCTTCTATCTCAAATTCTACCCAAAGACCAAAGACATAGCTAAAGTTCATCCTTTTTTTTTTTTTTTTTGTACCAGGGATCGAACTCGGGTCCTTGCGCTTGCGCAGCAGGCGGCGAACCCACTGAGCTAAATCCCAGGCCCCTAAAGTTCATCCTTAGTGCTGGTCATTTGTGTTTTCTATAGTAGTGGTAGTAATAGTAATAATAATAATAGTTGTTTTGTTGTTGCTATTGTTCAAAACTTAGTCTCACATTTTCTTCCTGTCTTCCCTCTCCAAAGAACAAAAATCATGGGAATCAGATCATGAGCAGATAAATTCTTGGGGTTCAGTCTTTGATAATCCAAAATTTTATTTTATTTTAATTAGAAGTTCTATGGAAATAAAGTTTGATGTCTCACAAAGAAAAGAACACTTTATATTAAAATAATAATAACTCATGTAATTTCTCACTGTTTGGCAGGCACTGGTATTTATGGTGGCACTGTTTTAGTTCAGAGATTTTCAGGCTAAAGAATTCTGCCTGCCACAGTGGTCCCCAGTACTAAGAATGCATGCAACAGGCTCATATCAGGGACTTCAGGTTTCTTTCTCCTATTATAATCTCTCAGAAAAGCATAAACTCTCTACATAATCTCTGCCATTTTAATTCCCAGAAACCAAAATAGTTTTAATTTAGCTGACAAAGTTGTGACGTATCCAACCCTAATTTTAATCAAATTGATTCTCCCATCCTTCCAGAAAAATGTATTTGGGGATATAACCCACATGTCATTAATTATTCTAGCTTCAAATTATTGGGTAAAATACTTTAGCCAGAATGAACCATTCCCATGTGGTTTGTTTTAAATTTATAAAGGAATTTCTAAGAAGTTTATTTCATTTTTGATGTTATATTTTCATACTAATGGTAATTGCAATAATACGTGAAAATTCTCCATTCAGAACTCCATTTAGTATTGACTTACTAAAGAAACATGATTTTTAACAGTTCTTTTTTTATCAACTAAGAACTTTATACAGTGTTAAAACTGGATAATTAAAATAAAAGCTTCTCTAGCAAATAATTAGTCAAAATTGGTATCAGTAGCAACTATAATTTGTATAGAAATGAGTACATATAGCTTACATGTTAATGCAATATACATGTATTTTCAAGTGTATTTGATAATGTGTATTTTTTCACATCTATATTATGAACTAAATTTTCTTCTTATTCATTTATTAGACAAAAATGACAGCTAAAGGAGACAGCTTCTTTTAAAAATGATTACTAGTCATAGGAAATCTTACTATCAGAATTTGGCATTTCTTTCTAAATGGCAACTCTACTCAAAAAATGTGAATAGCAAAAAAAAGTGATAGATGTTTAAAGGTATTCTGCTAGAATATTCCTATTTCTGCAATATCTGGCTACAAACATGTCTTTGCTTTATTTTCAGTTTTCTAACAAGTATTCTGTTTTATTCATATCATTGCTGTAAGTGCTTTATTTGGGTGGAAGATTTCTTTTGACTTCTTCAGTATTTTTCATTTGTCATAGCTTCACAAGCTGGCTAAAGACCAAGGAAGGCGAAATGTTTCATCTTTAAAATCTAGGTTCAGTTAACAATTACAAGGGCCAGACACAAAGTCACTACCTGACATAACAATTGTAAATATCACACATAACAGAAACATTTGAAATTTCACTCATGAGAGAACAATGGTGCAAATTACTGGGCTAACAGTATAAGCACATCCTGTCTTGGATCATAAATTAGGAACTTGTCCCTTAATAAGGAAAGAAAACAGAAAGTAGAAAATTACAAACAGTCATAAATCCCCCCTCCCAAATATGAAGGCAAATTATTTTTGAAGGTATCTGATTGCGGCTCGCACACCTTTCATTTTTGTTGCCAAATGCAGGGCCTTACAAAAGAAATACTGTTCCGTCCAGATGGCCTCTCGAAGGCTCCCTCAGAGAACTCAGACAAGTCTCTCTAGCCAAAAATATTGTTTCCGCTTATTCAAGTGCCAGAAATCCTACTGCCACTCTTTCACGCAGATCAAATAAACCATCTAAAGATTTGGTTGTTGTCTTTGTCAACTGAAAGGGTTGATTCCACTAATAGATGACAATGTATCCTCCCACCCCACCACCCACAGCCTCTCCCCCTTTATTTGTGAGCAGGAACACTCAAAATCAGAACCAGGCAATTTCTGGGGAAAATGAAAGGTGAAACGACAGAACTCCACTTTGGAGAATCCTAATAATTGCTACCCCCCACCCCATATGCCCTTGTTCATTTACTCTTTTCAAAACTATATGCAATAATTTTGACTTCAAAAAAGCTAATTCTTAGAAAAGCCAAGAGTCTGCCAATGGTGACTTTATGATTGGTTTGATTAACACAAAACTGC